CATTTTGACACTAATGACATTTTAAAATTCAAAATTTATATCGACGATTTTTGTATTTTCTGCGTCCTTTACTTATTAGATTTTCGTTTGCATTTACATAAAAAACATTTATTTTTAGGAAACAATGCATTCTAAACATGTACAAACAGATAAACATTGATAATCCTGGAATGAAAATAGCAACCATAGCAAAAATTAAACAGGCAACATTTTTGAGAAATAGTTATTGTTAAAATCAAGACTAACTAAAGTAATGTGCTAATTCAACTATTTACAGAACAATTAAGGAGTATAAGCAGACTGGAACAGTAAGATGTCTTAAAAATATTGGCGGTTGACCTTCTATCCTTGCAACATGGAATGAAAGAGTCAAAACATCTGTACGACAGATAGTACACAGCTTCTTTTTCAAGAAAAAAATGCCCACTTTATATAAAATTTTAATCAAAAGTAAATGTGGGTTAGCCACAAATATATAATAAATAAAAAGTGCAACACAAAACTCTAAATATTGTGTCTGAGTTAAGCAATCAATTAGAAGATAAAGAGCTTTATTCGAATGTACATTTTATTATCCGAGGAGGATGTCAGTCCTCTACCGAACGCGTCCCCAGGTGGCGTATAGGGGAACGCCTCCCAGATATGGGTGGTATCGGGGAAATGAAATACCCGACGCGGACCAACTGACGATAGTAGCGTCTGACCTTGAATGGGCGGCTGAACAATAGGTCCTCCAAAAGGGGGTTATGGCGTTAGGCGTTAGCAACCTAGCACACTTAAAAAATCCAAGGGCTAACGAACAATTGGCAGAAATGAAAAATTTTAAAATTAATCCCCGGGTGGTAATCCACACCTCCGAAGGAGGGAGCCCCATCGGATACGGGGGGGGGCACTTCTGCTTTGAGTTTAACAAACCCGGCTTCAAACTCAACCGTAGACAAAAACAGAGAAAGCTAAGAATCGGCACATCTCCAGGGCTGGAGAACAAAAGCCAGTGAAGTAACATCAGAAATCGAAAAGATGAATCTCGATATCCTCGTCACAATGGAAACAAAAAAGAAAGGAAACGGCACTGAAAGAATAGGGGAACTAATCCATTGTTGGAGCGGAGTAGAAAAGAAAGACCGCGCAAAAGCTGGAGTTGGAATTCTACTAAAGAAGAAATGGGAAAAATCTATAGACGATTGGGAACCCATAAACGAAAGAATTGCCAAACTGAAAATCAAGATCTATCGCAGAGAAATTATAATACTAGCAACATACGGTCCAACGGAAGACAGTTCAGCCAATGAGAAAGAACGATTTATCGAACAACTTCAGGAACAAATGGATAAGAGAAAACCTAAACAAGAAATAATAATAGTGGGGGATCTAAATGGAAGAGTCGGAAGAAAAGACAATGACAGAACAGTTGGTCCATTTGGAGAAGACACAATTAACAACAATGGAGAAATATTGATAGAACTATGTGAAGTAAATGATTTGAAATTTATGAACGGATTCTACAAACACAAAAATATACATAAGTACACATGGACTCAAGAGACAAGAAAACTAAGATCCTTTATTGACTACATTATCATGAACCACAAAAGCTCCATCAAAGTGAGACACCAAAGTGAAAAGAGGGGCAGAGTGTGGAATAGATCACAAACTTGTGGTGGCATGGATGGAATTCCCCTATATCTGGACAAAACAAAAACATACATCGATTGTTACAACGGGAACGACAATAAACGAAAAGAGGCTCAAATTACATCTATTACAGGCAGAATCAATAAAAGATCTATACAAAAGAAGACTAGACCAAAAACTAGAAGAATTCAGATATGACACGTTAGATGAAATGCATGAACACATAAAAACCTGCCTGATTTCAGCGGCCTTAGAAGCTCTTGGAGAAGACGACCAAAGGAACACCCATCAGAATATCAAATTAAGGGAAGACACATTGAAATGTATAAAAGAAAAGAAAAAACTACACATAAAATACCTAAACACCAAAAAAACAGGAAGACTTAGACCTATATAGAGCGAAAAACAGAGAGGTAAAGAAAAGAGTAACAAATGAAAAGAACGAACGATGGGAACAGGCATGCACAGACATAGAACGACATGTCAGAGGAACGAGAAATTCAGAATCATGGCGAATATTAAAAGCACTCCAACGAAATAAGACAGAGAAAACCCAGATCGGCAAAATTAGTGAAAACGAGTGGCAAGAATACTACGTAGAACTACTTACAGAAAACCGTTCCCAATTTCAGGAAGAGAATACAAAACATGCAGAAAATGGGACATACGACCAGATAGAAATAAGTCTGACAGAAGTCAAGAGAGCAATCAAGACATTGAAGAACAAAAAAGCCAAAGGACCCGGAGAGATACCAAACGAACTAATTAAAAACGGAACGGAAAAGTTATTCCGCATGCTACACAGAATGTTCGAAAGAGAACTAAATGGAAATACCTGCGGAATGGACACAAGCATATATCACATCCACACATAAGAAAGGAAACAGGAAAAAAATGTGAAAACTACAGAGGAATTAGTATAATATCGTCGGTAGGTAGACTTTACGGGAAAATTATCAAGGAAAAACTAGAAACTGAAATAATAGGAAAAATTGGAGAAGACCAAGCAGGGTTCACAGTAGGAAAATCATGCCTAGATCATACGTACACATTAGAACAACTGATAGAGAAGAAAATGGCAAAAGGTAGACCGGTCCATCTGACGTTTGTTGATCTAAAGAAAGCATACGACTCAATACCTAGAGTCAAATTATGGGAAGCAATGAATGATCTCGGAATCCGACAAACACTAAAAAAAAGCAGTTAAAGCACTGTACAAAGAAAACAAAGTAGCTATTAAATGTGGAAATAAAGCCTACAATCCATTTAAGACGACAAAAGGACTTCTACAAGGCTGTGCTACGTCCCCTACTCTGTTTAAAATATTCTTGGAAAAGACACTCAAACCATGCGTGAAAGTGCGAAGGAATGGGCATACCAGTAAGAGACGAATACCTATACACCTTAAGTTTTGCCGACGATCAAGTAGTCATCGCACAAGATGAAGAAGATCTCAGCTTTATGCTCAGAAAACTAGAAGAAGAATATAAAAACAACGGAATGGAAATAAACTTAGTGAAAACCGAATACCTAACAACAGAAAACAAGGATATGAGAGACCTAGAGATAGACGAGGGAAGACAAGTAAATGGAACAGATAAATTCAAGTATTTAGGAACCATAGTATCGAACCAGGGAACAACAGAAGAAGATATAAACAACAAACTAAGACAAACAAGAAACTGTATAAGACAAATAAATTCAGTGCTGTGGGATAAGAACATTACGATAAAGACAAAAAAGAGAATATATAATACCCTGACAAGAAGTCAGGGTATTATAATACCCTGATATGTATCGATATTGAATTCATTGGTTTTTTCCAGTATTTGCCTTAGCACAAAGATCTGATCTGTTGTTGATCGACCAGGCCTAAAGCCACTTTGATATTACCCGCGAAGTTCCTCTGAATATGTATTTAGGCGACCATATAAGATCCTCGAAAATATTTTGTAAGCTGTATTAAGGAGGGTTATTCCCCTATAGTTTCTACATTCCAATTGGTCACCCTTTTTGTGTAGCGGGCAAACGATTCCAATACATCACTCTTCCGGGATTTGTTCCTCATTCCAGGCTCTCAGTATTATTTTATGTACTTGATTAGTCACAGAAGCACCTCCACATTTAATAAGTTCTGCGGGTATACCATCACTTCCTGGAGATTTATTGTTTTTTAGGTGTTTTATTGCAAAACGCATTTAGAAGCAGTTATAAAAGAAAAGACTTTTGGGAAAACACGAATTGATAACGCTCTAGATAATCAGTTAGTCACCGCATGCATAATGAGCAAGTAAAAAAAATCGTGAAACATTAAAGAGACTAATTCACATTACATGTTTCCTTGGAGAACATGAACTTAGTTTCCGAGGGCATAATGAAAATTATGAATCTGTAAATAGGGGAAATTTTGTGGATTTAGCAAATTTTTTATCTGAATATGACGAACTACTAAAAAGTCATTTAGATCAATCTATAGTATTTCGAGATACCTCGAATAGGATACAAAACGATTTGATCAAGTCTGTGGCAAATATTGTTATGAAAAAAATGAAAAAAGAAATAAAAGAAGCACAATTTATTTCCATTGTTCTAGACGAAACTACAGATATTGAGTCAATTGTCGGTTGTTCTGCGTTACATAAAAAATAATGGTGAAATACAAGAACGATTTTGGGGATTTTTGGATATAACTGCAGATAGATCCTCAAGCAGCTCCCACCAGATGGAACTACATTGGGAGGTTAGTAAAAACAGTTTCCCAATATCGGCAATCCCTAATAGTTATTTGAAAGCATTTTGGAGCATAAAGGCCGTTGGGACCCTGAAACTGTGAATTCCTCAAGAGGTTATTTGGAATTAGTCAAACGAGATTTTTTTTTGCTTCAAGTATTTTCTGAAATATTTCCTTATACAGACATTTTATTTGATGTATTACAGACTAAATCGAATGATATTGGATTTTGTATTAAAAAAATTAACGAATTCGAAGTCCAAATCAACAGACAGAGCAATTTGATATCATGTGACAAAAAAACTTGCGACCTCGAAGTAATGGAACCCAAGAGAAAACGCATTAGAATTGACGACGTAGGCGACATAAAAATATCTAAAAATCGACTTTTTGTAAAATAATAGATAATATTTCCCAGCAGCTTCAAGAAAGATTTAAAAAGCTTTGCGAGTTAAGATTTGTGGAGTTATGCAACTTCAATAAATATGCCAACTGTAGTTTCCCGGAAGAGGTTTTTTAATTGTCTAAAAAACATTATGCAATCTTTTTTAACATTATTTTCCCTGCATTCCAAACGTTTCCCTGCGTTTTGTATGCTTCTCAACACTCTGTACAAACTGATACTAGTTCTAAAATGCTGACATTTTTTAAACAAACTGAACTGGGTGAAGCATATAGTGAGTTTTCAAAATTATGTGACTTAGTGATGACAATACCTGCTACAAGTGCGTCTGGAGAACAACGTTTTTCTGTACTAAAGCGGATTAAAAACTTTGTCAGAAATTCCACAAGTGAGGAGATGCTAGCCAACTTAGCGATTTTATCAATTGAAAAGGGACTTATTAAAGAAATGTCTGAAAATCCCAGTTTTTATGAGTTTGTCATAAACGAGTTAGCCAAAGATGAAGATAGAAGAATAGAGCTGCATGACAAGTAAAAAGGTTAGTAAGTTTTTTTATAATTTCCTTTAATTTGCACCCCTTTCTTCAAATGTCACGGCACGCCACTGGAGACTACACAATAAGAAGTAAGGTTTTCCCAGGTACGTGTCCGCAAATGCATTTTCAAATTATTTTCTATAGTAAATTTCCTAATCATACTTGTGAGGTTTTTCCCCAGTATGTGTACGCAAATGCTTTTTTAAATTATCAGCGGCAGCAAATTGCTTAAAGCAAATTTCACACTTGTACGGTTTTTCCCCAGTATGTATTTTTATATGCTTTGTCAAAATGCTTTGCTGAGAAAACTGCCTAAGGCAAATTTCACACTTGTAGGGTTTTTCCCCAGTATGTGTTCGCATATGACTTCTCAAATGGCCTTGTTCAGAAAACAGCTTAAGACAAATTTCACACGTGTAAGGTTTTTCCCCAGTATGTGTTCTAAAATGCCTTTTCAAAATATTTGCTACATTAAATGTCTTGAAACAAATTTCACACTCGTAAGGTCTTTCACCGGTATGAGTCCGAAAATGCACTTTCAAATTATTTTCACTAGTAAATGTTTTAAAGCAAATTTCACACTTGTAAAGTTTTTCCCTAGTATGTACTTCTAGATGCTTTGTCAAAATGCTTTGCTGAGAAAACTGCCCAGGACAAATTTCACACTTGTAAGGTTTTTCCCCAGTATGTGTTCGCAAATGAATTTTTAAGTTGTCTGCGGTAGTGAATGTCTTAAAGCAAATTTTACACTTATAACGTTTTTCCTCAGTATGAATTTTTTTATGAGTTGTCAAATTGCTTTGCTGAGAAAACTGCCTGAGACAAATTTCACACTTATAAGGTTTTTCCCCAGTATGTTTTCGAAAATGGCTTTTCAAATTATTGCCACTAGCAAATGTTTTAAAGCAAATTTCACACTTATAAGGTTTTTCTCCAGTATGTGTTCGAAAATGTATTTTCAAATTATCTGGTGTAGTATGTGCCTTAAAGCAAATTTCACACTTATAAGGCTTTTCCCCAGTATGTGTACGCAAATGCTTTTTTAAATTATCAGCAGCAGCAAATTGCTTAAAGCAAATTTCACACTTGTAACGTTTTTTTCCAGTATGTAATTTTTTATGCGTTGTCAAATTGCTTTTCTGAGAAAACTGCCGAAGACAAATCTCACATTTGTAAAATTTTTGTTGAACCTCAAGTTTTACACTTTTGTTTAATATGGTTTCTTTAGCATGTTGACTCATTTGTTGTTGTTTGTGGTATGAATGTTTAGGTAATGTTTTTATAGTTTCCATTTTATTGCTGATTTGGGGTAAACCTAAAATATAAAACGAAGTATAAAAATTTGTTTTTTTTGTTGCAAGGAAAAATGTGTGCAGAAACTTGAGAACAGAAATAAAAACACATAAGTCATAAGTCTAAAGAAATATATATATATAATATATATATATATATATATATATTATATATATATATATATATATATATATATATATATATATATATATATATTATATATAGTAACAACCTAAACCAAAAAACTTTACTTTTTGTAATTTACAATTTTAAGTTTCAAGTAGTTGTATATTCACTTAACAATATAAATAAACGATATGATAAAAAATCTATGCCAACCTTTTGATATGGATATTTACTTAATTGTTCAATGATCATGAGTTCTTTAGGATTTTTTATGCTAAATTTTTTACATATTGGACAATTTGTTACATATTGTTCTATTTCATTTTCCATTTTAGGCCAATAGAATAATGATTTTGCTCTAGCTCTTGGTTTTATTAAGGTAAAAGCACCATTGGCCGACAGTGAACCAAAGGATGACACTTTCGAAAAAAAACTCTTATAATAAGAATGTTTTTATTCTTAGACCAATAATATCTTTGGCAGAGACTCCTAGCGCCATCTGTGTCATGATGACGCAATAATACAATTAACTTCCTGCTTACAATGGAGCTTCCTGGATAAATTTTTCAATTTCTTCCTTCGTTAAAATCTTAGATTTCTTTGCCCTATAACCTTGAGCTTGCCGTTTCAATAAAGAACGAAGTTTTGAGTATGTAGATATATCTACATTGTGTTTAAGTGCAAGGGTTGACTTCAGCATTGCATACTTGGCCCATAATGTTGAAGATTTCATCTTTAAACAAAGGTCTAGGAAGTATGCCATTACAACATTTTCTGAGAAAGAACTCGTATTTTTACTCATGCGATAATCCATAAAACGTCTGTATGCATTTTCATACTTTTCTCTTGATTTCTTTGGCAATGATTCTAATGAAGCAGTATTCACTGCCTCAACCAGCTCTGGAGGAGTCCCAGGAATGGAAATTTCATCATCACTTATCATTTTACTTTCGAGAACACCAGCAATTAAATTTATAAGCGTCAAGTTTGACAATTCAACCTCAATACGTTTCCATAGTAACCCAAGTAATTTTATTAGGAATTTCAAAGCACCATTTATTTGGGAATAAAATTATCGCGTTTTTTTTAAATCAATTAATATCTGTCGAATTTTAAACGATTTGCGGAAAAATAGTATGTTTACCTCGTAGGAAAAGCCACATTCCTGGACTCTGTGTTGCTAAGTCTCGGCTTGCGCCTCGACTTAGCAATCTTCACAGTCGTCCAGGAATGGTAAGCTTTTCCTACCCGGTAAACAATGTACTATTTCTGTATCATGCATATTTACTTCTTTTACTTTTGTATCCTTCCGAGTTTTACAAACCAATGAGAAATGGTTATCCCGTCCACACCTTGAACATGTTTTTCCCCATGCTGGACACTTTTTTTGATCGTCCACACCATTTACAATCAATAACTTTAATTTTCATCCACTCTTTTTGTGACTTTTATTTTGAAGACACTTGCTTCATTTTATCAACACTAGACGATGCTGTTTGGCACACCTTCTAGGCTTGTACTTTCTCCAATTCAGCTATTTTAAACAACTTAATTTGTTTCATTGTCTGCCGATCCAAAAACTAATCTATCTCTGAGTATTTCGTTTTCGTCTGTGAATTCACAATCTCTTGCCAACGTTTGAACATCTATTAAAAAGGATTCAAATGTTTCATCTATTCCTTGTGCACGTTCATAAAACAGGTGCCTACAATATAAAATATTTTTCTTTGGGTTGCATACCTCTTGAAACTTATCTAAAACAGCTGCATAGGTCTCTTCATTTTCTTCGAACTTGAAGTTGTTATGTTCTTAGACCGTCGTCTCCAATACAATTTAGAAGGATCGCTATTTTAATATCATCAGTTTTCGACATCTGCCCTGATGCTCTTAAATAGATATTAATAGACTGTTTAAAAATCTTCCAATTTTCACTTACATTTCTCAACATTTTAAGTGGTTTCGGCAAATTAAATCCAGACATTTAGGCGGACTTGCTCCACGTGTTGCAAACTTTCCACACTAACTTTTACGTTATTTACACAATTTATATATATATATATATATATATATATATATATATATATATATATATATATATATATATATATATATATATATATATATATATATTTAGTATAATGGTAAGGTTAATTGGTTAGCAGCTGAAGAACCTTACCATTATACTAATTAATAATAATTGGACAGCTGTGATCATTCTTCGTTTATATATATATATATATATATATATATATATAGATATATATATATATATATAATATATATAGTTTCACTGACTGCGCCATGTACTGTTCTCATTAGTCAATCAACATTGTTAACGCTTATTTCTTTTATTGTACACTACCACAGGGTTGCCACATGATTTTTTTTTAATTCCCTAGAATTTTTGCCAAAATTTCCCTAGATTTCCCTAACAACTTGACAACCATATTTAGCCTAGAATGGACCACCTAAGTCTGACGTCAGAATGAGCGGGATTTTTAAAAACCTTTCCAAACATTTCTAATTAGAGTTTATTGGTCACATAAGAAGTTGGAAATATTGGTATTTTAATTGTTTGTAGAATAAATAAGGACTTTTTGTTATGAAGATTCATTCTGTGCGATTGGTATTATTTGTTGTTCGTGAATTTATGAGGTAAGAATCCTTCTCAATATTTTCTCCTTCGTAAGGATATAGTGGCGTCATGTAATTTTTTTAAATATTTTTGTCCAATTATTTCATTTCTGTGCGTGTTGTTTTGCTTCGGAGAATGAATAACCAGTCATCTCTTTTATTCGGTCCGACCATCGTACTGGAGATCTTCCTCTGGATCTTTTACCCGCTACGTTACCTTCAACTATCATTTGCTCTATGTCTTCTCTTCTTCTAGTTATATGTCCAAAATATCTCAGTATATTTGGGTTGATAGTTGTGATGAGTCTAATTTTATGTCAAGTTCTGCTAGAATTGAGTTATTTGTGCGATAAGCGGTCCATTATATGCGGATTGATATCATTCTACGGTAGATCCACATTTCAAAGGCCATTATACGCTTTGAATCGGCTGTTGTTATTGTCCAAGTTTTTAAAGCATACGTGGCGATAGGAAATATCAATGCTCGAACACGGCGTAATTTTGTATTTTTTGTGATGCCAGTGTTCTTCCAAATTTTTGTGAGTTTAGCTGTTGCCGATCTGGCCATTGTGATGCGTCGACGAATCTCGTCTTCGCATCCTCCACTGTTAGTAATAAAGAAGCCTAAGTAATTAAATTGCCTGACTACTTCGTAACCTGCCATGTTTTTTATCTCTGCTTGATTGTTTCTGATTCTATCGATGATCATCACTTTGCTTTTCTGCATATTTATTTTCAAACTGTATTCCGTACTCACCGTGCCTAGCCTATTCATAATTTGTTCCAGTTCTTCTGGTGATGACGCCAATATAACAGTGTCATCAGCATAACGCAGGTTTTTAATTTTTCTTCCTCCTATCGTTGCTTCACCTTACCTTGCCACTTTCCTCAAGAACTTGACGAATATTTTCATTATACACATTGAATAGAATAGGGCATATTATGC